GGTTGTGACCACTTGCGCTCCAGTATTAAGCTTTGCCTCGTATGGCATATACGACGTCTTTGTTGCTCAACCCAACACAAAGCATTATCTTTGGGCTAGCAGACAGTGTGGAGGCTTGGGAGGCGGCTACAGCGATGACTGGTGGTGCCGGGCGTCGTTGGGTGGACAAAAGGTGGCAACGGTGGCTGACATCGGTCGGTGACCAAGAGGTTGTGGCGGGCGGTAGGCGATGGCGGCTGCGCGGGAGCCAGTGGTGGCGACAACTGCCGTGGTGGTGGTCAGTGGCAGCTGTTTGCGATCGACTATTGACGGCTGGCAGTTAGTGGTCGGCTGTGGCGGTGTCCAATTGTTGTGGCGTCGGTTGGCAATGGTGATGGTTGGTGGCCGACGACGACGATAATGGCTGTGGTGGGGGGTTGTGGGGAGGCAATTGTGGCGGTGGGTGGCGATCAGGGTGGCCGGTGGTGGTCAACAATCAATAGTCGATGGTGGCAGGTCGGGGCAGCAGTCGCGGTGGTGGGAGGTTGGCGCAATTGCTGTGGCTGGTTGGTGGCGGTGGCTGGGGCTGCGTTCGGTTGGGGCGACGAGCAACGATCGATAGTCAGCAATCGATGGTGGCCAACTGAGGCAGCAGTCGCGGCGGGCGCGGCCGAGTCAGCAATCGATGGTGGCCAACTGAGGCAGCAGTCGCGTCGGTCGCGACGGTGGTCGACGGGCAGGCGGCGATAGTAGCAGTGAACGATGGTCGGTTTGCGAGCTATGACGACAAAGACATTTAGCGGCTTTCGGCGGTGAAACTTGCACTTATGGGTGTTTTAATAATAGGCAAAAACATATTTTTTCTTTTTTGAGTATTTTAAAAATAGAAGTGTTCTTCTAAAAAATAAAAAAATTGAAATAAAACAAAAAAAAAATAAGAAAACACAATTTTTTTGTTTCCTATTTTTTGTTATAAAAAAAAACAAAAACAAAAATTGATTTCAAACAACCCATAAATGTTAAAACTCCACGATCCCATATATTTTGACACCTAAGATCTTAAATTTTAAAAGCTCAAAATTTTGAATTATTTTAAAATTCAAATGACTCACATTTTATTATTTTATTAATTATTTTATAAGTTTGAGTATCCAGGGTTAAGGTGGTTTACCATTCCAATTCACCCTGAAATTTGACAGCCTCCCGGTGTCAACCCCATTAAGGGGCACCGGGAGAATGTCATGCTTCCCAATTGTTTTAAAAGATTTGCTGGTTAGCGTTGGGAGACACTGTGACCAGAGCGTAAAACGGCGTATTTAACCCACAATTTTAAAAGAACAGTCATTCAATGTACCTGCAAGAACTGTTAAGTCGCAAAACATTATTTTACTTTTACCAAATGGTACTTAATTTTCACGGATGGGTACTCGTGTTTCTCAAGGACGGGTATTTGGAAAACCTATGAATTTATAAATATTTTGCAAACGAGTCTGCGATTCCTTAATTCACAAGGCTTGGTACTCGTGCTTCCTCGAGTTGATATTTTAAAAAAAAATTTCCATTTCGACCTATTTCAATATATCTTTTTTGAGCTTCGGTGTTATTGACGACGATGAACCTTTATAACAGCGACGACGACAATAAAATAAAAATACAACATAAGCTTTCTTTTTCTTGTTATACAATTACAACACATATAATTTGAACAGTAAAATAAATATGGGCTCAATTCTATTTAGCTTTGCTAGGTGGTGGCTTGGGCAGAGCTCAAAAGTGGGTTCAGTTTAGCTGCGAGGGAAGCAACTTGGTGTGTGGGCTAGGGCAGAGCAGACGCTTTTGTTGCGGCTTACAAGCGCTACGGCTTCCACACAGGTAGGATTTGGCGACCTTTGTATGTGCGATAGTGAGTCGTTCTGTTTGGACGAAAGAGGATGACATGAACATGATTGGGGAGGTGCGGCGGAAGGAGGAGAAAGAAAGTAACATGTGCAGAGGAAGTGCTCGGGTGCGAAGGCTAAGGCAAATCGATTTTCGTGCGGGTTTCAGTGGGTTGGTGTCACATGACAATGGGAAGGAGCACATTACACGATGTGGGTGTTTGGGTATGGCATTGTAGGGATTGACAGCCGAGGCTGCGATTTCCTTGGTTTCTCCGTATGATTTAAGCAGGGAGGATAAACGACGTCGATTGTAGAGGGGAAACGAGGGTGTCGATTGCGGTTAGAGTAGGAGGAAGGAGGCGAGAAGTAGTGGAACAATGGGTCATGAGATCCGTGTGTGACGGGAGATGTGCGACTGCTGGCTAGGGCAAAGAAGTTTAATAGAGGAAAAAATGAAGTAGAGGGGTCTTGTGTCATTTTGAATTGAGCCAAATGTTGTGTAATTGTGTGCGGGAAGAAGGAACAGTGGATGGTTCGTTAGTGTACAATCAAGGGCGGGAGCGGTTATGGCATTCATGCTGGAAAAAGTAATTAATTAATTATTTTTTATTTCCTTTTCTCTTTTTTTTATTTATGGTCAATCGTTTTGAAGTTAAGTACCCGACCAGACATTCAATTGATATGGTATGTTATAGTAAGAACTGTTTCCCTCCAAATTTTTTTGGAACTTGATGATACATTATAATTGAGCGGAACTCCTCAAGGAGATGTCTTTTCTTTCTCTCAACTATCCCTTTTTGTTTTGTGGTATCAATATATGAACTGACGTGATGATTCCTTTTTTTGAAAGATAGAACCAAATGATTACATTATCAGTTTTGAGGACCTGAATTTTGCATTGGAATTAAGTTTGAATCCTGTTATGGAAGGTTTGAAAGATTTGTGTTATTTTAGATTTCTCATTTATTAAAAAATACCCAAGTTGTTCTAATCTGATGTTTAATGTATGAGACAAACCATCTAGCCCCACTTCGGGTTTTCGCCTCTGAAGGTCTCCAATAACCACTGTGGATGATGAAAAAAAGGCTGTGAGGGTTTATACTAGGTCATGAAATAACTATTTCTAATATGTTTGACAAGTTGACGAATCTCACATTGATAAAAACTAAGATTTTTATGGATAAATAATGAGGATTTGATTTTGCAATATAATTAAAGTTTGGATGAATCGTGCGATAATGCTATAATATGACCTGTTTTTTGGTAGATATAGACTCAACAGGTGCAGAAATTTGAGGTGAAAATAGATGCGAGAGAGAGAGAAAGTAGGTGCTGGCACAAGGGAGGACCTGTAGGCTGGCTGACGGCTGCAGGGAGGATTCCGGTGTTAGGACGACTATTGGAGAAAATTCCCGCTGCTAGTTTCGGTTTTTGCAAAGAAGAACTGCCTGCAGGGAAGAGTTCTGACTGCTGCAATGAAGGACTAGAGTTCTGGCTGCTGTTGCTACGTATGCTGCCGTTACTGCTGCAGGAAACGTAGTCTGCCTACAGAACCTGAACAAAAACTGAACAGGGGAATGCTGGCTGGCTGCTGCTGGTGCCGCTTCTGCTTGCTGGTGTTATCCGGTAGCTGTTGCTGCTTTCCGATGGCTGTTGCTTTAGTTGCTGTGGCTGCTGTTGCTATAGAACTCTCTCAGCCTCTCCTACCAATAAACCTACAACAAGGAGTAATTTGGCGGCCTACAGGGAAGATTTTTCGGTTGTAGGAAGGAATTTAAGCTAGAGGAGGGGACTGCATCAAGGAATTCCGATTGCAGTGAGGAGTTTCGGCAGTGGAGAAAAATCAGAAAGAAGATTTTTGCTGCAGGAAGCTAGGAAGGTGGCCTGCATGGAGAAAAGGGGCCCGCAGGGAGGAGTTCCCACAATAGGAAGGGGATTCGGCCAGGAAGGTGGCCTGCATGGAGGAATGGGGCCCGCAGGGAGGAGTTCCCACAATAGGAATGGGATTCGGCCAGGCAGCAGGAGGCATGGTGGCTAGGATAAGATCTATGACTCTGATACTGTATCGAGAACTGATTTGGAGAGGAATATGTCACTTTTAATTGTATTATTCACATGCAGGTTACATATATATAGAGAAAACAATTTTTCCTAATTTATAAACTTACCAAATAAATCTAACATAAATTAGGAAATGAAATAATTTTGAACTAAAAAGTAAAATAACATAAAATAGGAATGGAATAAACAAATCAAGAGATTCCTGAATTGTCTCATTCAAATCCTCCACAAGATTTCATATTTCCACAATCGTTGGGGCATGTATGACTTTATGCTCATTATGGTGTGGTTGTGGTGGAATTTGGTATTTAAATATTTGTGTGTATGTGTGGGCGTATAGGCCTTTGTTTGTTCACACTTATTTTGAAGCATACAAAAGGCATCTATATTATTTTGTACTTTATATACATGAACTAAGAAACATGTAAAATTTTGCACCTATTCATCAAATGTGTATATTCTTCTAAGATAATTATAGTTGCGTTTTTTTTGAGGCTATATGCAATTCTTTCTTTACTCGTGGTTTTTGATCTTAGATGTTTGAATCTTGCAAACATGAACGCATATCATTAAAACTTTTTTTATCAAGTCTATTGTATTCATAGCCTCATAGGTTATGCATCTATGTTTGTAAACATTTACGTTATGTGATTAAAAGTTCACAAGTTCCTTTGTGAACGCAATTTTTTTTGGGAGATTGATGCCCATACCACCAAAATTTACCCTATTTATAAAATTGCCATCAGTCCAAAAAGATGAACTAACAAACATGTATTTGCTTGTTCCACAATCAAACCACTGGGACTTTGAAAAAAATGAAAAATATGCATATTGTGAATTTTGCAATATTTGGGCGTGAACTTTAAAAATAGAGGTAGGAGGAATTGGTTTTATAAACATTCATGATTTGAGGGGTATAGATGAAATCGCCTTGTTTTTTTTTTCTTTTTGGGCTCATATGTGCCTGTCTTTTAGCTTGCAACTTTTTCAGTCTAAATATACTTTGTTTCATATAAGTTAGTTCTAGTTGTTTTGCTTTAATGTTTTCTTCCAAATCACTTGTCTGGTTTCCACCTCAAGGAAATCTGTCGCATCCTTCTTTGCCGCCTATGATGCATTATGTGAAGAGGGAACTGCCACTCCAGTCTGTAAGGCTCTTGATGATATTGCTGACATATCTGCGCCAGGTAAATAATTTGGATCGACTTTCTTTCTTGTAGCTTTGACAAACACATAATTTGCTGATGCGGCGTAGCTGATTTTGCTACAAAGTTATTACTTCTCGAACCTCTTTTAATTTGTGGTGGTGTTTATTGTTCAACTTATAGGGTCAAAAGATCATATAAAATCTCAGGGTGAAATATTGGAGGGCTTGGTTGCTCGTGTCGTCAGCCATGATAGCTCTGAACAGATGAACAAAGTTCTAAAAGAGTACCCCCCTCCATCCGTGGATGGACGTAAGCCTTTTTTTTTTTTGAATTATGGAAAACTTTTTTTTTTCACAGTTTTTATAGGAACTATACTTATCAGGGAAACCGTTATGATGCTTATATATATAGATTAGGTGAGGGATGCATTCCCAACTCCCTCACCTTAAATGTTTCCTTGCCACAAAAAGAAACATTGGAAAAGAAGTGTAAAGAGGTGATCTTGTGATAAATTAATTTGACATCTGCCCCTTGGTTGCATAAGAATGCTCCGGGATCATTTTTATAATCATTTTTCATGATCTTTTCATCATCCTTATTTGAGTCTATCTTTGAAATGCTGATCAACAGATATCTATTTGATCTTGATGTCAACATGATATTTTGTTTTTTTAACCTGTGATAAATTTCTAGATGTTGCACAAAGCACGGATTTTGCCAACAAAGATTTTCAAACTTTTTGTGGTACTTTTATTTTATTGATCATATATCAAAGAAGCACCGCAGTTACACTTTAGAAAATCTCTTTTGTTTAGAGCTTCTACGCTTGTGTTGTAGTGCAATGCGTGCCCCTGAACTTTGACTCAAAATGGTCACCATTTCTATTTTTATGCTCAGTTCACATGAATATCCTGGAAACCTGAATTTCTTTTTTGTTTATTTTTGGTGAAATGGACTTACACTCTGATTTCTTATTGTTTTGCTAGATTTGTGGTAAAGATCAGCAAATTTCCCTTTATTGTTCGCGTTATGATCGGTTGGAAAAATGGAAACTCAGTTTATTGAATTTGAATCTAAAGAAGGCTCAATTGGCCTCACAAAATGGTGAATCATGTGACAAGTAATCAATCCCTGTTTATAGATATAATGCAACAATGAAAAGACTAAATGATTAAAATTCAAATCTAGTCCTAATAAAACAATCAATTCAAATATAATATTATCCCAAAGTTTAATCTAACTTTATAAAATAATCCTAATTTAAAAAATCGATTAAAATAATGGACATAGACAGGCCTGAAAATTGTTCTGTTTCAACTCCATTGTATTTTGGTTTTCCAATTTATTGTTGACGCACGACCAACTGAACCTTTATGGATTGATTTAACTGATTGGTGAGCCGCATTGCAATAATTCTCTTGGAGTACAAGAACTATTCTCTGTGGAGTTAATATCCATATGGTTTTCTTAGATATCAGTTGCTAGCTTTTATGGTTCACCCTTGTCATCCTTGTATTATTTGAGGGCGGATTGCCTTTCCACTTCGCCATAAATTTATTCTTAGCATTTCTCCAACGCATATGGAAGGGACCACAAGTACTTGCTTGCAATTTTTTTCATCCAGTTTACACTAAGTGTTTGTGGGACCAGAATATTATTTTGTTATAAATCTAAAAATTCATATTTACATGTCTCAATTGCACCGGATTGGATAGGTTAGGGTTACTGGAATTGTTCACCAAGGCAGATGCGACAGGAACATTATGATGAACCTATAAAGATTGTTGGATTATTGACAAATTGATACACCCCGAATCCATAATCAGCGAACAAATGACACAAAATAAGTGGAAAAACCCAAATTATGGCTGATTTTATTGATCTTCAAGCAAACAACAAGATATAAAGTTGATCTACAAATTGAGAGGTACATCATTTCTCCACAGAATGTAGACGCTGCGAGGAATAAGACTACAAAGGGAAAATTGCAAGCAAACATAACATAAAACAAACCATAGCTATTTAGCCCTAATAAATACCCCCCGAGGTCCTTTTAAATTTTCCTCCAAACCCCTTCTCTTTTACGTGATTAAGCGTAACAGCTGGAATCATCCTTGCTGCTTTTAGGGTTTCCACCACCTTAGTTTGGACCGGCTGGGTCTGACCAGCCCAGACTGGTTCCTCCTAAATCGATGTGTTTGCAGATTTCTGTCTAATACAATAGATTTTGGAACACCATGCAAACAAAACACTTCCCAGATGGTGACTGACACAACAATGTATGGGTGACATAATGGAATGAAATGAGCATACTTGCTCAGGAGATCCACTACCACTAATATCACTGCGAACCCTTCTAATTGTGGCAGCCCTTCTATAAAATTTATCGTCACCTCCTTCCAAACCTTCTCAGGTAAAGCTAGGAGCTATAGTAATCATTCTGGCTCCATAGTCAAATACTTGTGTTGGTGGCACATAACACACCTTGCCACCATATCCTCTACATCATTACGCTTTCTTACACAGTATAATTCTGCCGATAGTTGACTGTATGTATTATGTACCTCATAGTTTCCCCCAATTGCACTACCGTGAAACTTTTACAATAGTTTGGGGATATACTTTGATGGCCTCTACAACATGAATCATTTCTGGTAAAGTAGCTGTTGCCCCTCAATTCATATTTTTGATGACCGTTTGGATTCTGTAGCAACTTTACCCGTATTTTCCTCAGCCCTTCATCCTGCTTGTTCTCTCGTCTCAGGGCTTCCCAACCTAAGGACCTAGGGTACCGATAATGCTGTCAACTAGGGCTCCTCCACCTTTATTGACAATGAATTGCAACTTTATTTTATAATCTTGGCCGGTAGCTAATCTCAAAATCATATCCTAGTAATTTGGATATTCATCTCTGATGTTTCTCAGTCATCATCATCTGCTCCAAAATATATTTTAAGCTCCTCTGATCTATCATGGCTAGAAAGTGTCGCCCCAACAGGTAGGACTGCCACTTCTGAATGACCGAGATAATAGCCATCAACTCTTGCTCGTACACCTACTTGAGTGTCATTCTGTAGTGAGCACCTGAAGTAGGCAATCGACCGATGGCCCTGCATGAGTACTGCTCCCAATCCATACCCTGATGCATCTGTTTCTACCATGAACGGTCTACTTAAGTTTGTAAGTGCTAATATCAGAAAGTTGGTCATGGCTCTTTTCAGATGTTTGAAGGCCTGTGTTGCTTTCCTTCACTTGAAACTATTTTTTTTTTCAGCTGCTCCTTCAACCATGCTATCTTCCCCCCCCCCCCCCCCCCCCCCCCCCCCCCCTCCCCCCATCAACGGTCAGGCAT